CAGCAACCTACCTTCGGGCATCTTGTGTAAATGCTATTCAAGGAAGCTTCGGTGGGATGGCAGTTGCTTAGACGGCTGGCGCTACGCTGGGTACCAGATCCAGGGCATACCTGTCAACACCACTAGCGCGGTTGCACTTGTTCCGAGCCAAGTCCGCAGTCTAGTAGTTACGACATCCAGGGCGAGCCAACGTCGGGGCAAGCTACTTATCGATACATGCAGATAATGAAGCATTACAATTTTCCATTTTTACGCTGGGTGTTACAAAAGGTGAACTTGCGTTCGAGGGATGGAAACAGAAAATGTGTCTTAAAGCGGCTCCGCTCAATGCATCTATGCCGTCCACTCTCGACTCGGGTAGTGCGGTGCACTCAGCAGCCAATAGCCATAGGAGCCACGTTCCGTTATATTGTCATAGACCGTATCGGTCCAATGTCGAGAAGGCTGGGCGACAATCACACAGCTGATTTATGTGATTACATACTTATCTTCTGCCGAGAGCTCATTTGCCTTGAGGAGCCTCAACTTCTAAGGGAAGAAGAGACTGCAGTGGCTCTTGTTCAACTGAGTCGTCCGCATGAATTTTGATGCCTAGCAGATTTCATTCACATAAAGTCGTCCAGGAAGTCCGAGTCTCGATCCTGATTGCTGCTTGCCTGCATGTTCTCTTCATTGAACAGGTCATCGTAGGCATGCTCTTTCTGCCATTTAAGCTGTTCACGTTCTCTCTTTTCCTGCTTTTCCCTGGCGCGTTGCTCATCTCTTGCTCGTCGTTCTTCCTTTTGCTTTTTCTTTAGAAATTCCTCCTTCTCTGCGCGAAGATCCGGAAATCTCTCCTCGCGAGTCTTGTTGAGCCGATTGACAATTGCATTTTCTCGCTGTCGAACGTAGACTTTTCGGACCATTTTGGGGTTGTGGAATGAGACCTGTCCAGTCGCCATTGACCCGTCTTTTAGCAAATTTGACCATGGCGTGTAAATCACCGTGATGTTATCCTTCTTGTTTCCTGCACCGCCGATAAGCTTTACCTCCCACTCTTATATTCTGTCACATGAACAGAGGTGCTTCAGGGCTGACCTTCAATGGAATTAGCTTTCGTGAGCTGGGCACAGTCTTCTAGGAGCGGTTGTGGGATCTGGTCCCACGTTTCACCATCGCGAAGGCGCAGATAAACGTGAGCACTCGATAGATTATCGACATGAAACTGGGTACTCCATAAGTACAAGAGTTTGAACCTCGTTGTGCTTTGAGTCTTGGGAGTAGGGAGATGGACAACAAACCCTGGGGTGATAACCATAAGTCAATTCTTAGCACTCAGCACAATGATGAGGATATAGGTGGTGGTTAGCGGTACCAGACATCTTTCTCTAGGCCATATTTGATGAGATCCTCATCTAATAGCAGGGACTTTAGATATTGGGCACGTTTCGCAGAGTCGAAGAATGGCCGTCATACTTTCAAATTTGTCTTTTCCGACATAGATAAAGGCAGCAGGTTTCACCACATCTGAGGTAAAGTAGTATACCATATTGCCGTTTTGCAGCAAGTATAAGCGCCTCTTAGCTAGCAGAACCACTATGAAAGAATCTTTCTCTTGATGGTTGATAAGCCCTTGGTGATAAATTCGGTGAGAAACAGTGGGGCGGGAATTTCTAGTTTTGGTCAAAGGTGGAGAAATTTACTACATACTGTCTAATCCTTCCGAACTCCATAAGGTAGTCAGTTTAATTGTTGTTCTAATTTTCTTTCAGATTCACTCCCTTGTAAGAGCCTAGGCTTCTTAGTTTATATATGCCGATTTATGTCATCAGCGATATAACTAAGCATTGGTCTTGATATAGGTGATGGTATTAGGAATGTGTAAGTTTAAGCTTGTGAGATCTTTCTAATGATATCACACATGCAGGTGAGGTGGGTAGTTTTAGACACAGTCTGCAATCTACATATTTCATATCTTCTCTCTAGCCAGGTAGATACCATTCCTTCCCTGCTTCTTTCTTCCTTTTCTATTTTCTTTTAATAACATCAGCCTCAAGTGATTACATTTGGTGGTGTGCTATCATTGATAATGATAAGAGACAAGTTAACAACTACCTCTTAAATATGGAATTGGGCTAAGCATCATTGAGAAGAAACTCCGAATCCGAGCTCAGTGTAACAGATTGTCTCAGTATCATTTCCACCATAAAGTTACCTTACCTTAAGTGATACAATGTACAATCATAGGTACGCTGATCTGTACAGCTCTGCCGTCCTGGGCAGCATTGGGGATACTCTGATCCTTTCCGTCGTCAACCTCTTAAATGATCATTTCAGGCCTTTTGAACCAAGGTACCTTATATATTGCCCACCCGTGTAAGGTCATTTGCTGCAAGCTTGCAAAAATCCTTCTTGTATGCACATATCATACCACTCCGGCTTCCCGAATCCCAATTGCCCTGGGGCCCTAGTCATAATTGCCTTATAAGACCCGCAAGGCTTCAAGGCTCGGTGGAAAACCATACCTGGAACCGGAAATCAAGCCGCATAGTATACTATCTAGCTGAAACTGGATTCGAAGTGAGAACGCTGGTCGAATAGTCAGTTGTCCTCCCCATCTGATAGTAAATCAACGCGGCTAGATACATAATAATTATGATTATTATTTTTATGGAGCATATACGCTCATCTGGATAAGACGCACTATGTGAAGGGTACGATTACTCAATACTTCGTACACCGGAAGAAGACAGCTTGATTCAGACAACAACAGGTATTTCGGTACACCCGGCTGCGATATTCTCAGCAAGAACCAGCATGCATAGCACGGAGTGCTTTCCTTCCCAGAGTATTGACATGTAATTTACCTATGACTATATCATCACATTCAACCAGCCGCGATGGCAACAATGTGAAGTTCGAGCGCAAGTGAGAGAGTGAGGATTCATAATCCTCCCCGCGCAGGTCAGCCCACGGCATCAGCACCACTAGATTTCATGACAGTCGCTCCCGAGTGTCATTGTCATTGAGCTAATCGGGTGATATCGCATTCACATATAAACTTTTTTTTGCTTCTTCCTTCTTCGCCCTTTTCCCTTTTCTTTTCGATTTTCGCACCGCCGGGAAATTCATTCGGAAAGGGAAGTAGGTAAGCTTAGCAGTAAGATATCCTTGTCAGGTTCCTAGGGCCGACAGAGTGGAAGATCCTTACCCACACATTGCCTTTGGAATGACTATTTACACCACCTTATGTCATAGGAAATGGATACTTGCATGGAGAAGTATCAGGTAGTCGCCTGCAACCATCAATTACAGAATATCCAGTGAGGGAAAGCCGGGGAATCTGGTACTCGCATAGCCCAATTCCACCAGCATTCTTCCTTGTCCTCCCAGGTTGGGACAATGGCAGGACCCTCGAGACAACCCTTGACTGCATGGGAATATTTGATTCATACTACCAACTATCTAGCCACAATGGATGACCACGTGATTGAAGGCAATTTCCGAAGTCTTAAATTTGAACCAAGTGCGATCATGCTAGTCATTCAATTGCCTAGCTTTCCGTAGACCATATCGGTTGATTCGCTTCACTCCTAGTCACTACTCGAACTCACTACTAGCAGTAACCACCGATCTCCACTTAACTCATGCACCGGACACGGTGTCCAAGTGACATCCACGGTTGATAGCGGCATGTGGTGGAAGAGTCAGACTTTTACCAGTCATCGTTAGATATCGACGAACGGTAAAATGAATCGATACTGGACAAGTTCCGTAGTGGGTAGTACGTAGTCCACACATATATAAAGTAGGTAGTACCCACCTCTCAACTTCCAAGACCAAGACCATACAGGGAAATCAGGTACCTATTTGTTTCGCGTAAGCGCCAACCACTTGGGGATTACCCTGATACTCAAACAAGAATTTGTGTGTACCCTGTAGGGAGTAGTCCGTATGGAGCCCGAGTGCCGGACTCTCGCATTCACGACCGTCACTTTCCGCTGCAAGTAGTTCTTAATCAGTAGTCAGAGCAGTACTTTAACTACTGGCCTAGCAGGCGAAGCTGACTTCAGTGACGGCCGCCAGACAGCAATTTCACACAAGGTGCAAACCGTGGGTGGGCCGATATATGATTCGTCGGTTGACAKGGGGGAAAAACCGTTACGCCAACTCGACATGGGACCGATTAGCGTTGGAATCAGTCTCAGGCAGTCGAGCTACGGCGGTAGATCCGAAGTACAGTTAGAGCAACTGACTTACATACCTCTACCTTAACTTAGTTAGTCAAGTCTCTTCGTTTCAGGCGTCTCTGCTACAGAGGTCTACAGCCTACAGCGGGTATGCCCGTACCAAGACTCCACCTGCCACATGGTCTTTGTTATTGAATTATGAACACTTGAAAACAGAACAAACTGCTTATGAGAGTCCTATCAGCGTGCCAAAAGATCTCCAGGCTCTGTCTAGTCTTCCTTCGCTGTATATTCTGCAATCACAATCGGCTGTCGCATCGACTGATTTGTGAGATGTGGAACACACGCGTTGCGAATGGCTCGCGTACGAAAGTGCGAGACCGCTTGTAGGGCGTATGAACAAAGGAAAAGACAAAAGAAACGGCAGATCTCCCAAAGGCTAACAATATGTAGCCGTTCCCGACTTCTCTCAATCCCTCGTAGGAGATTCGATCCACGATTGCTCTCCCTTCTCCACCCTGGCTGCATTAATTTGAAAGATTTGGAGGGGGGTTGCCTCGAGTACGCATTTTGCCAGGGATTTCGATCGATATATTTAATTTTTTGAAAATAGTCTCTCGCTGCTCTCTGGTGCTTTTTTCTCTCTCTTTCTCCTTTCCCTTTTCCTTTCGTTCTGTTCTTTCTCTTCCACTCTGTTTGTTCCCTCTGTCAATTGTCTGATTTGGTATTCCAGCTACTTGCCAGCGTTTCTATTTCATTCGAAACGCCCACACGCAGACAGCCCTGGATATCTTGAAGGTATCGAGGATCATCACTCTCAAATAGTGACAAATGGCCAATTCTGCAACTCCTACAGATAGTTCCAGCGTCCGCCAAGCACTGGAGCGTGCCCGTAACTGCGAGCCTGATGCCGTTGATCGACACACGACCGACATACTCGAGGCCGCCATCACGAATTTGTGGCAGAGGATACAGAATGCGCCAGATACCTATGTGCTGAATGGGGACGAATTTGCATTATTCAACTATTTCCGTGGCAGATATGGCCAGAACCGGATTGCCCAATTGGCAGTGGAACGGTTCTGGAACAATTACCGTGGGAACAGCGCAAACAGTGATGGAAGTAAGACATAGCACTTGCTGTTGTACAAACGGCACCTGGTTTTCAGTGATATGCGCGAAAACCACTGTGTCTTTTTTTTGCGTCCTCTGAGGCAATCGACTTGACCAAGAGGACCACACGCTTCGGTTGCATGTCAAGCCTGACTGTCCGTGACTCTTAAAGGCTCAAGAGTGGAATGGGACCATCAAAAATCAACGTTTCTGAGGGCAGCTGGCTGTGACGTTTGAGCTGTAATCCGATGGTCCAGGGTTACTCTTTGACCATGCCTAGCTGGCAACTGTACCTGCGAAACAGGAATTGGGAGTGCTGGACAAAATAACTTCCCTTGGACGATATTGCAGGGTTAAAACAAGCATTAGGAACTCGTCTGTGTCTTCTGCATGTCTGAGAGGACGTCAGCAGGAATTCCTGTCCTCTATATTTGCGAAGATAGCTTTTCTTTGGCCGGACGACCTTAATCACTTTCATGATCTTCGGTTCACGCTCAGCACCATACTTTGCATAATCAAATCCCCTCTACAAACATTCGGATTTGACTCGATCAGCTGTGCTGCGAGGTTTTTCGAGTCAGGAGCGGCATTGATTCTCAAATGATGTATCTGTAAAACGATCGAGGTATAATAATTTTATTTCTTTTCCATATCAGGTCTTGAACTCGGACTACCACTGCTCAGGCTAGGCCAAGCTATTCGCCAAAATGATTCGTTGGACATGGGCCACGGCTGTCTTCCGTTTCGGTTCTGGCTTCCTCGGTTGCATTCAATATGTTGATCATGCCAGTGAACTACTGGGCATACAGGCACCAGGTGATAATTCCCACTTGTAGGAAAAGTTATCCGCACACACTGTGACATCCTCCTTCATAATTATCATGACCAAGTTAGGTCGATCAGAGGATCGTGTGCTACTTATGCATGGAATTTAGTGGTTGCAGATGGGTTGGTCAAAGCTACCTGCTGTTGGTTATAGTTTAATGGACAGACACTCTTTGAACAAGAAAATATATGATTGGCCTATACTACATTACGAGGTGCGAAAGTGTAAGGTAGCCTAGCTTAATAACCACGTAGGTAGTCCCGGATTTAATCTACAGCTATATTTTCCAGTGACACCGTGAGAAACTCGGCCGGATTCTAGATTACGACAAGACCAAAAGACTGACATTTACCGCGAGATGCCTCCATCCCGAATCCGTACCTATATAGTAGAGCACAGTGTAGACGCTCTACAACCACAGACAAGTTGCTCACTTAACAACTGCATATATATGGCATGGGGGGAAAAAAAGCAGGCAATTTAAAGTAATAAGGGACATAACAAAAGGCCTCCTCACGCTGCCCGGAGACAGGATTGCCAGAAGATGGACTACGCAACCAGAGGGTGGTGACTTCAAGAGAGTGGTTCGATATATGTGGTTCGATATATGAAATTTTGCAGAAGTAGCGAGGAGAAAAAAGTATAAGGTCGTGCCCGGAATCGAACCAGGATTGCCAGAATCAGAATCTGGAGTGATAACCATTACACTACACAACCATGCTATTTATAATACACTCGGCCTCAAAATGATATATAGGGAAACTTTACAAAGAAAGTTCATTTCAGTTCAATTGAACTTGGGCTTAAAGAAAGCGCATACAGAAACTGTTCTTTTTGTTGCCTGCGTCCAGTTTTTGCCTTCTATTCCTATGATAAGTAACTATTCAAAGTACTACGCGTAAAATATACCAGTACTCGTCGCCGTCGTCAGGATGGCAGTGGCACTGTTTATGATGATAATATTTCGTAGTGTTCATAATATTCTTTGCTACCTGGTTTTCTTACAATTTGTTCCGTATCCCTACCTCTGGCGCCCCAATTGGAAGTGGACTACTCATTAAACCACCTTAGCTAGTCTGACCGTACAGGTCTTTAGGATGTTTGACGCTGGCGGTGCATCGCAGCTTCTTTTGGAGTATCATGGCTAATAACCGAGCTACCACTCCTGGCCAACTCGCACTATTGGATTCGGTTCGGTCACGGGCCCTTGGAAAAACTAAGCTCGCTATATTATTTCGAAAGATGCGAACTTCCTATCTCAAATAACTTGTGATAAGAACACATTCGATAAGAATTAATTAGGAAATGGTATTTAGACAATGTATATCTCTTCTATGTCAGATATGCAATTAGTGTACGGAGTAGATTAGCTGTATTGATTATGTATAAGTGCTATATGAGGATTACAGACTCCAAAACTCCGCTTAGTGTGCTCTACTTCTCTCCGAAGGGGGTTCTGTCCATAGGTAGGTCTAGGATATAGTGTTTATGTGGTGGTTTTAATTTGCCCTATTCACTCCTTGTCATGGTGGGATATCTAATTGTACCCACTATTGCACATGGAAGGTGACTTTCTGTATGGCAGTACCTTACTTTTGCAATGACCGTTTCTTCCTGGGTTGACCTGGCAGGTGATGAGTACGGAGTTCTGCCAGCAATGTCTTCTTGGTGGTTTCTGGATATAGTAACTTAATTACTTCGACCTCCTTTCTGGACTCGGGGTTTGGTGTCATGGGGTGAGTCACTAGCAGACTCAGTGGTTGTTGCCCCCTGGATCTGATACTGCGGAGTACCGTGAACTTCATTCAAGAAGCAGGATGTTGTCAATCATACCATTGGAACTAATTTCCACTGGCTAAATTGAGTACTGGCGGGTTAGATGCAAAAAAGCCGCGCAGATAATTGAGTCAAGTACTATCGACGAGGTCACAGGCCACACCCTTATGATAACTTGACTTATCGGGCCGGGCCAGTTATCATAGGGCATTGGGGGAGAGAGGGAAAAGAAAAGTACATTGAGCGAAAGATGGGGGAAAAAAAAAAGGTCGCGCCCGGAATCGAACCAGGATTGCCAGAATCAGAATCTGGAGTGATAACCATTACACTACGCAACCACTGTTGGGAGCAGAATTCCCGCTTTTTATTATACAAGGAAAAGGTGTCAGATTAGGTGTGATACCACATGTGGTTTCGATCATAGGCACTCCTGTATCTTTCCCCTAAGGATAATATAGGAGATCATATCTCAGTAAGCAAATTGAACTTCTCTACAGAATATCCACCCATACTCCCAAATCTCAAAAGACATCAATTACAGGGGCGTTGCTGTCTGGTAAACGTATATATCCTGGAGTACTCACACTGTGGGCAAGCCATCCAGGATGTGCATGAGAGATGGGCAAAAGATCTACTATGATTTGACCATAAGGTCACATCATGCCTGGCTTTTATATATATGTTCACTGACTTAACACTGCATTTCTGACCTGAAAGAGGCACCGGCCCAGACATTCCTTTTCTCTACGAGATATAATAGATATAGATGAACGTAAACGAGGACATGCAGACACCATGTGCTTACCTGGATAGATACTGGGCTAGTATCATACAACTTGGGAATTTCTAGAACTAGGTACAACAAATATAGAGTACTCTGACCACATCTGAACACACCATGACTTGTTAGAAGAACCAGACATTGATGCGTTTTAAGCAACTACATTTCTTAGCTACAGGCAAGAACGTCTTGACACTTCAATGGTTCCGGGGACAGTTGTTTCTATTTCCCTCCAGAGCCCTAGTTACTCTTTCGAGATGGCATGCGTTAGCTAGGTAGCTTTAGCTTTCCCATGCATACACTAGGAATTAGGTTGAAAAATTAAAAGAGCTGCACTGGGGCAGATCGGTACAGGGCAGGGCCTACGGGTAATCTGGAGTGGATTACGCCAACCTGTCATGTTATTGTAGGTACGGTACATGGCCTGCGTTTTGCACTCCTTTTTCCAGAAGCTTGTCTGCATGCAGATGACCTCACACCTATTTTTTATATGTTGCTAAACTTGCAGTTTGTACCGTCTTCTGGTTGCGTAGTGTAATGGTTATCACTCCAGATTCTGATTCTGGCAATCCTGGTTCGATTCCGGGCGCGACCTTGTTACTAGCTTGTCCTAACCATCCACTTTTCTTTTTATCCAGTCATCATGATGGATGATAGTCCCACCTATGCATCTGGCATGAAACATGTCAGGGTGGATAAATAACATGTGGCCACCATCAAGGTTATATATTATTTTAGTTATGTGAAGAAAACACCCAACCATTTAAACATCTATCACCTCATAAGAACTCAAGTGTTCTTGGCTGCTAGTGTCCATAGCATTAGTATCAGAAGGTCATAACCAAGAATAATCAGCCCAGATCATGCTTATATACCGCCAACCCTCCTGGACCCCTCAGGGCCCCATGCCCCGCCTAATGTCTTGGTCTCTGACAGGGATCGAGGAGATGGTAATTCACTAAGAGGAGTAAGTGGTAGTAATAATGTCAACCAGCCTTTAATTGGGCCATACTGGTAGGTAGTTACGAAGCCAGTGTAATGCTTCTTTATGTAGAACGCGTTCTTAAGCTGATAAGTCGAAGACGCTTCTCAACAGCAGCAGGTTGTGTAGTGTAATGGTTATCACTCCAGATTCTGATTCTGGCAATCCTGGTTCGATTCCGGGCACGACCTTCTTAAGCCAATATTTGGATTACAAACTTTTTGTCTTTTTGCTCAACTTGCAACCAACTGCAGCGTGATCCCATGGACTTCACAGTCCTGTCAAGCAAGCCGTACTTCATGCCTGAACGCCGTCCTCAGACACATCTATTCTCTGAAGCCCTGTCAGGAACTCCAAACGCTACTCGTAGTAGCTGGTTGACAAAAGGATGCTTCTGTATTCCATTGCATCGCAGTGGCTGCAGCAATGACACACGCGGTGATTGTGCTGAAGCACGGAGAACTCGACCGTATCAACAATGCAAAGAGTGAAAATATCGATGATCTATAGGCACAATGGGGAAGGGAAAAAAAAAAAAAAAAAAAAAAAAAAAAAAAAAAACCTTTTGGGCATATATTACAAAATCTTGCTATCTATATATCATTATCATGTCTATTTATTGGCCGGGGAGTCGGGGCTGATCAACGGATCAGACG